TTGAAGGAGAACAATGCAAAAGAAGAGAAAATGACTAAAAGAGAACAAAAACATGAACTTGGGGACTAAATTACAGTAGAGTCAAAAGTTGAAGGACTTTGTATGCATTTTATCAGGGGTATGGTTGAAATAAAAGTCAAAATATGAGGACCAAAGTGTAGAAGATGAAAAGTTAAATGACCTGATTAAGAAATTATTGAGGGACTTAAAGACAATTTTTAGCTTCGCCTATGCATGAATGCATCCTCATGAAGTGAAGGCTCCCCCAATAAGAAGTGGCCTTTGAAAATGTCATGAATAAAAAGAACCCCTGAAAAAGGGAAGCTTTCGAAGAGGCTGTGAAGAAAAATAACCCTTAAAGAAGGGAGGGCTATTGTTACACTTCTTCGAACGAAACTTTAAGCAAGGCTAAGTGGAAGCTACACGGCAAGTGAACCTAGGCCTGCACTCTACGTCACTTTGCCCATGTGACAATTTGGCTTAACCCCCCATGGGGAGCTGAGCTCTCAAGGATGAGGTAAGATAGGTAGAGGCGTTTTAAAGATCTTCATACGAGATCTTGTACCGAGTCGATGATGTGATAATTCACTGAATAAGTGTCTCTACTCAATCAAACAAGTCAACTCTAGTCTAGTATTACATGTCGGCCTAAGGCTGCCAAATAGTCACAAAATTAAATGCAAAATGACCTAGGAATGATTGACCAGTTTATGACAAGAGGCCACAATCGCTAGGAAGAGGCTACATGTCTCTTCATCCAACGACTCTTACTCATTATTTTCTATTATAAAAACTCACACTTAGTGTCATTTTAAGATAATGCAAATTTAGACTCTTAATCTATAACTTTGCCATATCACCGTTCCATTCGTTATTCCCGAGTCGACCCCTTTTTTATATTGGAGGGTCATGTCTAAAATTCTCCCACACTCACATATTTACTTCTCTAACTAACTTGATTGTCCAAGTGCGCGCAGCTAACTTCACCCCCACCAGAGGATGCCACATGTGACACCAGTTTGTCCAAGTGTGTAGGAACGAGATATGCGTGATCGTGAGATGTTTTGGGATCTTTTGGCCACGTTGGAGATATATTTTTTAGGGTCCACAATTATTATTAAAGAATAATTTTTTAAAATTAATTTAGATAGTATCTAATCATGTTAAACGATACCCAAGTGTAAATCATCAACTAGTACATGAAAGAGGACGAGATGCAAGTATAACTGCGATGATTTAGGAGGAAACTATACAGTAATAAATCAAGTCTTATTTCTTGTTCACTTCATGTCTGCTTAAAAGATCGAGTAAAATGTTAAGTCGAGAGAAGATAATTGGGTTTTCGTATGATGGTCCTAAAATTGAAATATCATCTGAGAACCTCAGCTTTTTGGACAAAATAGCATTTTTGTTCATGATTTAACCACATTTCATTATCCCATGTTACAATCAGTACAATGAATCTTTGATGTTCTTTACTATGTACCAAGAAAAGTTCGTTGCTTGTTACCTAAAACATGTCAACTAGAATCTCTTCCAAATGCAAACGAATAATTAAAATTATTTTTTCAATGGAATTTTCTTTTTCTTACGAGCACAATTACAACATTCTTGCGCGTAACACTTAAGAGACGTCCCTTTGTTATGCATGACTCAAAAACAATTATGGGATTAAAAGGAAAAAAATTGAAAACTTAATTTTATGTAGTATTGTTAAAAATCAAAACTAAGTGATTTAAAAAAATAAAAATAAATAAAAACTAAGTACCAAACCATAGCTTCACTACGAATGGAGTTGGGTCATTTTAGATCCATTTAGTGTAGCCCAGCCCACAGGATCACTGTCCCCTTGATGAACTCGATCCAATATGTTGACCAACAAGACCCATTAATTTATAAGGAAAATTCATATTACTTCAATGAAAATCTAGCTGCTTTATTTAGGGATTTTGGCACCACCGAGAATGAGATAATTAGATCTTATACAAGTGGTTGCAGTGTCGGTCGACAATGCTTAAGCAACATGTAGTTTTTCCTTTTCATTGTTGAGTCGAGGAAGGCCATTTAACTTTAGCTAGAGAAGTTCTCAAAACTTGTTGATTCCAAAAAATTTGTGGTTAATCACATCAATTACAAACATAAACGAAGAGAGACAAATTGGAGTTGAACTTCTCCAACTTTTGATAGATGAGACACTTGTTGAATTTGAACCCCACAAAAGAGATTCTTCTTTTATTGGAGAAAACGTGCAAATGAAAATGGCCATAGTGCTTTATTTACCTGTCTTCAACTTAGCAACATCCTTTTGTCACTTCTTAATTTCTCTTCATCACTCTGCAACTTAGGGCTCTATATTCAAAAGTAATCGAGATTTGATGCTTATATGGGTTGGGGAAAGTACTAACATCACTTGCTCTAAAATAATTACATATAGAGGGTGTTTGACACCCATTTTTTGGAGAATATAATTTTTAGAATAGTGATTGATAGGAGAGTGTGTGGTAGAAAACTTATGAAAATTTTTAGATCTGTGTGTAATATTATTTTATTGGGAGAATCTGTGGTTGAAATGAAAAAATAGAAAAAAAATGAGAATGAGATGAAATTGGTGCAAAACGAGAAATAGTATTTTATAATGTTCGAGGATACGTCGCACATCATATGTTGAACTCAAAAATAATGGTACATTGGGACTTACCAAGCAGACGTGGCAATCGAGATCTAGTGGACGAGTCGACGTTGTATAAAAATGTTAAACTCAGTTAAAATCAACACATCCTATAAAAGAATCTAACTTCGACATTATGTGGTTTACCTCATAAATATGGAGATGGTATGGATACTTGTTATATAGGGCAACTAGCATATGTCAACTTTTTAGTGCAAAGAGGTGAGATCTACTTTCACGTAGTACTTTAGCCATAGTCCCTATTTCAATTCACCACTCCATTGTAACTTAATGGCTTCGAAAAATTCTACTAAGATGATCCATACTTGCAAAAAGCCAACTTTCTAACCATCACCATCTTATTGATTGTTTTACAATTTCTGATTTTGAACATTGATAAGAGACCCCTCGTAGACATGAGCATCAATTCATATATGGAATAAAATCTTTTACCTACTATTTACAATGGGGACGTGGACCACATTGTCGAAATTTTTAAATACACGCAAGCCCCGCGCATTATGTGAGAGAGGATAATCCATTATGTACAAATGAATTAACCCATAAAATCGCCCTAGTGCTTTATGAGTAGTGGGCAATCCTTTGGTTCTGATGGATTTGTATAGTTTGTAATTGGTCATTGACCAACCCAAAATCGAAACGTTCAATACTCTATGGTTAGTTACATGTGGACCGGAGTCTCCACTTTCATCATTTCACAACCTGGGGTCCCATTTTCAGGAGAATATACGTACACGGAAAATATATAGAGGCTTACATAATTGGGAAACATTCAAAATGTTCATTATGACATGTACAGAGGTTGGAGTAGGCTTACAAAATGTTCATTATCTGTCTAAAGCTGAAATTAAAAATCAAATTTTTACGGTGTTCTCAAATGAGTCAACATCTTATTAGGACATGCGTAATAAGACTAAAAGCTTGTTTAGTAAGGTACTTTTACCTCGACAAACCTCTGAAGTAACTCCAATTGGACAAAAATAATGATGTTAGAGACCCTCGTTTAAGTTTGTTCTCAATGTGGAGAGGGTATCAAAGTTCCCAAAAAGTGTTTGTAAGTTTACAAAAAATAAAGATACGTCAACGTAAAACATTATTTTTTTGATTAGTCAAAAAATCATTTAAATTATACGTAAATTAGAATCTTACAGTCTATTTAAGAGTTTGTTTGGGAGAGATTTTTTGGGGAAGAATTGATTTTGAATAGTGATATGATGGGAAATGTGTGGTTGAAAAAGAAGAAAAAATTATTGATGGGATGGAAAATATTATTTTATTGAAGAATGTGTGGTTGAAAATGAGAATTAATTTACTGTAGAAAAATATAATCCCTCCCAAACATGGCCTAAGTATCTTCATATGACTAATGATTAATTAAGTTTGACCAACCCTAATCTATGACCTAATGATTGTTATATAGCATAGGCATGTTGCATGTATATGTATTAATTATTTTTAAAATTAAGTGGTGGGGTCTCATTGTGTTTTATAGTAAGTTGGGTACAAATCTAAACTTCGAAAGATAATCTTTTTTTTCTCCATTACACTGTTGACTGTGTGAGAGTGTGTGTTCCCAAAGTTGATCAATGACAGTTAATTAAAATGCTAAAAAGGACAATTAAATTTAAAAGTGAATCTCTTTTTTATGAATCAAGCATAAGCAAGAGAGAGATTATTGCTTAAGAGCTTGTCTATTATCACCAATACCTAAATGCATTAGTGTTAGGCGAAGAGAAGGGAATTATAAACCGTGAATGAGGTGTGAACATTCAATGAAAGATTACCCTAAGTACACCTCCGACATCCACGGGTCACGGATCGATTTTGGAACTATGTTTAATAAATCATTGGAATTCTTTGGGAATTGAAGCGACGAGTTTCTTGAGTCACCAATCAAGAGATTCTATAGACAACTACCACTACTATAATTTACGTGCTTGAACTTGAAGGTTCACTTGCAACTACTCTACCATTGCTAATGCTGGATGGCATGCAGATCAACACCTTAGTTCATGCAATGAAACATCTCCTTTAGGGCATCACTTTCAATTGTACAAAGTGCACATACCTCTCATATACCCCCTCTCCTCACAACCCTACCCCCACCCCTAGCAAGTACTCGATAGCACAGATAAAAAGAATTAGCAAGTCAACTCCTCTCTGGATAATGACGTCATCTTGTCCATCAACTTCCAATATGTCCAAAACCCTTTAAGAGGGCTTGCCATGCCTATTAGTTCTCATCAAACAATTTTCTCTCTTTCTTGCATACAGAAACTAAACCTTAACCTTAATAAGACAAACACTCGACATGTACGGACAAAATGGGAATGCATACTCCATGGAATTTCTTGCTCATTTCTCATTACAAAACACCAGCACAGCACACCCAACTAACCCATCACTTACGCCTCTCCCGTCCCTTGCGATTCCTGGCAATGAATACGACTCCATTTCTGCAGTCAAATCCGGGCTCGGAAATAGCAGCAGTGGATGCAGCAACACTGGTTCATCCAATTCAATCACTAGTTATGGACCATATAGTCCAACTCTAGTTCAAAGGAGCACCAGCAGCCACTCTCTTTGCAAAAACTTTGAGACCTACTACTCCCTTGTGAATAATTCCTCCCCATCCGATACAAGCTCGGTCAGAAAGTTATCTAGCACCAATGATTTACAGGTAAATACAGTACTCGACTTTTACAATACAATTGACAAGATTTTTACTTCCTAAATTTTCTTCTTTATTTTCTCGGAATTTCAATGTAACAGGGAGGAAGATTGGCGCAACACAAACAGAGCTTGAATAGTGCGATGGCGAACGAGGTGAGTATCATAGAAGGTATGAACAAAGCATGCAGATACAGTCCGGAGGAGAAGAAAGAGAGAATTGAGCGATACAGAAACAAGAGGAATTTGAGGAATTTCAACAAGAAAATCAAGGTTTATAAATATGTTAAGATGTTTCTCGCTTTTTTGGGCATTACAACAATTTTTTTAACTTATGCTCACGTGTACACCTTACCAAACATGTCATTAAAGCATTACTCGTTATTCATAACGAAAGCGTGTGCACTTGACATTACTGATTTCTAACATCATTTTTTTCCTATTGATCAGTATGAGTGTAGGAAAACTTTAGCAGACAGTCGACCACGCATTAGGGGACGATTCACAAAGAACGACGAAATAGATAAAATGACTCAAACTCAATTGGATCATGCAGGGATCGAGGAAGATTATGACAGTTGGATCTATTTTCTCAATGCATTTTCAGAAAATCTGATGCCTTAATCCTCAGAAGAGTTCCTCAATTTTAATGTTTGGAGCTTTTGTGCTGCAATGTTCATCGATTCTCATTAATTTTATGAAGAATTTTAAGGATTCTTAATGACCAATTCTTAAGACTTATTTGAAGAATATTATGTTATGGATTTAACGTCTAATCCCATACTATCGAGAGAAATATATATAAAACTGAAACTGATATTAAAAAAAAGAGTAAGAAATACGAATCATAGTGATTCACTCTCTCCGGCTGCAGGGTTTCATTGAACTCGCGCCTCTGCTTTTACTCCCTACCAAGAAAATGGTTCAAGCTAATATCCTTCATATGAAATATTAGGACGACCTAATGTACGTGTGAACTACCAATATTATATAATCCATAACATTTTAATTTCGAGGCCGAGCAAGATCCAACATACTCGACCAAACCAAGTACATTCCTAGTTTGAAACTCATGGCAACGACTTGTGTTTGCTACAGGCTTCACCACTTGAAATCAAGAACTTCGTTATCAGATGAGAATTATGGGAAAATAGTTTGGCAATTCTTACAGCCATTAAGTGACACCCAACATAGTCTAAGACACTTTATCCCAACAAAGCTACAACTGTATCAGTGATGCTTATTACCTAATACTGCCCAAACATCACAGTCTATTCATAAAAAATAAACCTTATCAAAATAAGCAATTGTCAACTCCCTCTATGTTTTCCATAGCTGGGCTCAAATTCGAGCAAAGGAGAAAAAAATTGCGGTAGGCTGATAGTCAGTATAAAACTTTTTCAAATCTTTTGATATGACTTGCAAATGTCGTTAAGCATAGCTAAACAGAGTAGCGAAAAATGAATCATATTACCGACCCTAAGTTTATTTGGAAAAAGCGTAGTTTGTCCTTGGAGTTGAAATAAGCTAGTGTCAATTCCTGCATTAATCATTATTTGAAGGAAATTAAAGGATTGAGTTGAGAATAAAAGGTTCTAAAAAGAATTTGTGGGATTGGATGCACGAGGTTAGTGGTAAGTTTTAGTGTCAGAAAAAAACTATTGCATACAGAAGCATACATTCACAAACCTAGGTTTAGAATTATATGATTTCACACTATAATGTGGTTTTTTTGATTGATTAGATGGTTCATAGTTAGTCACCTGAGAAAAAGTATCCAAAATTACTTGTTTAAATTTATGAACAAAAGAGAGATGAATGAGAATAAGAGTACACACATTTGTAAACGATGAGAAACTCAAATTAATTTGTGTTTATCAAGATACTAGAACAGATAAGTCATGGCATGAGATAAGGTCGAGCCTCAAGTCTTACGAGCCTAAGTGTAATAAGACATTTCTTTATTTTTAATATTATTTTAATTATTCTAAGATTATTGATAAAAATTCTTTTTATTTAATTAATTTATTTACCTTAAAAAAAATAAAAATAAAAGGTGTGTGCTTCAAGGCTCGCATTAGTTGCACCTTTTGGGTCGTAAGTCCGCATTAATCACACTTTCATTGTCTAGACCTATATTATAGGCGAGAAGGCGCATTATTCCTGCCTGGTCCCCACCTTCTTTCACCTCTTTAAAAACCAAGCACGAGAAGAAAAACTCGTGCAAACTAAGACTAGTCTCATTTCATGTTTCTTCGAGACCAAGTGATTGATGTATTAGATAAAGTTGTCAATTACCCCATTGTTTAATTGCAATGAAAATTCCCAACTTTTGCTCATTTATGTGTCTAATTTTCATCATATATTAATACCTAACATTATATGAATAAGCATATTGTGTCCCTGAAAACTGTCGAATAATTCGTCATGCGAGAGTTGAAAAAGACTCATATGCCATCGTATTTTTAAATAAACATCCAATACAAAAAAGTGTAGTATGAATATAATAACTCAAAAAAATTACCTCGTTAACATTACTTACATAAATTAGTAACAAAGATCACCCCACTCACATGCCCATTTTCTCTTCACTCTTCGAGTTTTTGGCTTTAGGAGCCACACTAGTTTTTAAATTGTAAAAGCAACAATTTGCACTCTTATCTTTACATAAATCATTATGTCTTTCATGTTACTTAATCATGAGTTTTTATTCTATAATAATGTTAAATGATCCAAGAGTAGATAGTAGACTTAGAATCTGAATCTAGACTAATGCCTTCAAGATGGCCCACAGAGGTGGGGAGGACGGCTGCCGGCGTTGGCTCATCCACTATATTTATTAATTACCTTTTCAACAACACCATTATCAATAAATTACTACATTTATGTACTTCAATGTACTAAGTTTACAAGATTCATCATTAAAATTGGCATCCCTCGTCTCCCCTCCTTTCACCACAAAAGAGCTTAGTAATTTCCTATACCGAAAGTGCCTTGTTCTTGATAAAATTAGAGCCGACTGCATGAATTATTTTCGCCTATTCTGCAGACGAAGTCGATTTAATATCCAGGGCCAAGATTTAAGTTTGATCCAACTCAAACTAATAAGCAAATATAAGTCATCACTAATAGCCAGAAACTAATGAACCCCTACAATGTTGGAAAAGCCAATGCCTAATGACAAAAAGCAATAGACAGCAGCCACTCTACCTCTCCATTCAGACATTATAATAAATAAAAAGAGGAGTAATATAGTTTTCATCAAGAAAGTATGTTGTAGCACATGAGAAGCATTAACTTGACCAAGTCTATGACATCTAACAATTAAATAAAATGGCTATAGCATGACCTAATAATATTTGAAATCATCATAGAATTGCAATTAGTAAATATAAAGTGAGCTTACTGCTTTCTTCGATTTTCCAAGAGCAATGAAAAGGTAAACTTTGCGTCTGTTGTCTAATGCAAAATCTTTTTTTTTTTTTGCTATTTCATACCTTTCCTCCTTTCTGGTCGAATCAAGTTTCCTAAAAACTCTTTATTGGGATGAAAACAGGCATGTTGGAGAATGAAATTGCAGCAATATACGCTCACATGCTGTTACCTAACATAGATTTAGAGTATTTGTGCTTGTGTGCATCCAATAGATAATTGTTGCCAAAAAAAAATACTGACCATGCTGAAAAGATGAAAAAGATCAAGGCTCGCTCGCTCTCGCTCGCACTCTCTCTCCCTCCCTCCCTCCCTCCCTCGGGTATATACTTCAATCAACCAATTATACTGTGTTGAATGTTCTGAAATAGTATTGACATGAGAGAAATTCACGCAAGGTAAAATTAGAAACCTGAATCTATATCTACGCACACGTCTATATAAACACATCTATCCATATAGAGACTAATACATGTCTTGAGTGTAAAACATTTGGTAATTTCACTAGTGCATGTGGATCAGAAAAGGGGGAATTTGACCAAAATTTATCATATCCTGTAAGAAGCTGTAAATTTAAGGAATTGATGCTATATCAAAGGGAGTAAAAAGCTGAACGAAAATGGGGACATCCCAGTTTAATAAATTTTACAAACTTCGTCATAAAAAATTAAGCAAAAGAACTAGACCTACAAAACAAAGTTTGTGACATTATCATCTATGAAACAAAGGCCATCAACCCAAAAAGAACAAGAGACGAACACCTCACATAGTTATTAGTGATTTTGACTTCCGAGCCTTCCTCTTAAAGGGCTTGGGATTCAACAAAACCTTAAAAGGAAATGAGAAAGGTTTATAAGTTGCCCTTCGTTTTGCTCTCCCTCTCCCTGCATTTATTCAAAAAAGAAAAATATGAATTAAAAAGTTAATATAGGTCTTTATTATCATCATTATTGCTTAAAAGAAACTAAAAACAATCATTTGATAGAAAAATTAGATCAGAATCAGATAGTTTTAGTAGACTTGAGGTAGAAAATGAATTCCCATATCCAAACAGTGAACAGATTCATATAGGTTAGAGTGAAAGATAGTTAACAAGAACTCCGATAGAAATTGAAATTACATCTAAAATTATGAAATCAGAATATAATCATACCTGCTTGAGAATTATCCAGGAGTCGATGACTTGTGACAAGATTTATCTGCTTTTTCTCGTGCATCATATTATCCACCAATGGATCATATTTTGCAACAGAATTCTCATTTACCATTGGATTACTAGATTCTTCAATAGCCATTTCATCACCTAAGGAAACTGAAGAATGCATCATTTCCTTCAATTGTTCTCTCTCCATATGGCCATTTTGTGAAGATATACCAGTTGAAGCTAAAACAGGTCCTTTTTTGCGTTCTCCCTCTATCTTGCTTTGAACAGTATTCACTTCAATTCCTTCTTGTGCACTTGAAACCACATCAACGCTATTTTCCATATTGGACTCCTCAATGTTGGCAGAGAAATAAATATCATTCAACGAAGCAGGTTTGCCAGAGAAGGGAGTACTTTCACTTTTACTCGTGGAATTGAAAACTGGTGTCCCATCTGATATAACATTTGTTCTACAAACAGGTATGCGACTTTGTAATTCTGAACCGGGTAATTCTACATCTTTGTGAACAGAATTTTCATCCAACTTGCTTGAATTCCTCAGTTTCTCAATGGAAAGAGTATCAAGTTTCTCAAAATCAGTGAAACAATTTGAAGTACCAGCATCTGTTGGCAAATCTGACATCTCGGAATCTTCACAGCCAAAAACCTGATATTTGTTCTTCATATCATTTAATGAAATTTGACTGTCTTCGAGCAGAGGAATAAGTTCACCTTGCTCTTTGGGAAGGGGATCCAATAGAATTTTAGAATCTTTACAGTGTTGACTTTCTTCAAAGAGAGGATTAAGATTGACTTGCTTTTGAACCACAGCCTTAAGGCTGTCTTGTCGTTCAGGCAAAGAATTTAGGCCACCCTTCTCTACAGGCATCTCATAATCTGCAATAGCTGCCTTGGTCTCCTTGGCCACAGGCAAATATTTACCATGATCTGGTGGCTCTGGTGCCACCTTCTTCAGAGAGATTATGTCTTTGATTTGCAGACCATGCACAGGCAGACCATTCATGCTTGATGTGAAGTCAATGGTTTTGACAGTTTTGGCTACATTGCTGGAGGCGGAGAAAGACTTCTCCATGTCATCTAGTATCAAGTCGCCATCACCACTAGAAATAGGATCCCATTTAAGCCAGTCATCAAATGGAGATTGCTCTGAATTAGTTTGTCCGCTTGATGGTATTCTTTCAACCTTAATAGCCTCCTTATAAAAATGTTTTTTCCTTAAAGCATTAGCTAGGATTGATCTAGCATAAATAGGAGTAAAGAAATTGCATCCATCAGAAACAGAACAAGATTGAAGGATTACCTAAAGCTTCTGCAAGTTCGCTTACCTACAATTTTTGGAAATGGCTGCTTTAGCACGCTCCTTGGAGAGCCCAAGTAGAGAGAACAAATTTGCAACATCATATGGTCCTCGAAGTTCAGTAACAGAAGGAGCAGAACTAGAGAAAATTAAATTATTTCCTCGTGTCCAATCAACTAGTAGCTGGAATTTATGTAGTTGGTCAGTTAAGCTGTAGCAGGCTGCATGATTTAGCAATCAAAAGAGTAGTCCACCCCAAATCCCAACTCTCCACCCACCCACACTCCAAGAGGAGAAAATGTGAAACAAAAACATACTTCTAGGTATTGGAAATTAAGACTGCAAAATCCAATACTGATTAGCAGAAATCTACATATTTAACCATTTGTTAGACATGGATATAAAACATATCCCAATGAAATTGAACAACCAGTCGTGTACTCAATCTCAAAGTAGCACAGTAGTATTTGATCGGTATTGCTGCAGGACGATGAATTGTTCAGACACAATAGTTTCTTACATCAATCATTTTATTTTGATTAGACTGGTTAATAAGGATAGCAGAAGCTATATCTCAACTGAGCTGTGGTAAAAAGTGGAAGGGAGCTTGAAAGTAATACTTATTTCAAGCACCGGACACAGATAGAACATGAGATGTGTTGCCTAAATACCTAACATGAAACAAACATAACTAAATCATTTCATCTTTTTTAACTTCATTAATTTTGTAGGGAAGATTGAATCAACCGCAGTGAAGTACTTTTGTATTGATTCACACTGGTCCCCAAGTTTCAATTCGAATCTAATTAACTCCACCCCACCCCACCAACCTGTCCATTCCCCTATGATTTATATCATCATTGATGTATGACATCGTTACTGAAGCGAAAGAAGAGTGCAATGAGCTGATTCTGTATAATTATTTATGCTTTCAAGGACAGTTGAATGACAAATGTATAGACTAGGGTTCTCTAGGGTTGGGGCAACTTATAATCTTGGAAACTGAAATGGTATAAGCAATAAGATGCATCAATTACAAAGTTTAAATATACTGCCATTCATCAAAAAAATTTCTATACACATACTAGTTGCATACCATTTTTGACTAATTTTAATCTTATTTGATAGATATTCAGTCCGTCAAATGGAAAGAAAACCATGATTTTGGGAATAAGACTTAGTTTGTTGTTGAGACTACAAGCATTATTTTGGTTTTCATATTAAAAACAAGGACCATATATTTTACCACTATTACCTTTCGGTGTCTATACAGATATCACATCTGAAGCTCAAATAGAAAATTTCTAAAAAATATACTGAACTAACAAATACACAGTGGGATTGAAGAGATAAAATGTTAAGTTGTAACCACTAACTTCATGTCACTACTCAAGCTAGCAGTAGGTCAATAAAAATATACTCGATGTCAAAATGTGTGACTTTTTTCTCGACAAACTAGCAAATTCCAGAATTTCTAAGCAACCATTTTATATGGATCCTTTTATGTCCAGAAACTCAGGAAGATAGTAGGTTTTTTGTGAGCTTTGTTATAATAACTGTAAATTGTAATCAACCCACATTGGTGAATTTTAATATGCAAATCGGCCCGTGCTATAACTATAGCGCAACTTTTTTGTCTTATGTTTTCATGCTTAACCTGTAAATGAGAACTTGTACACAAATCTTGAATATTGAAGATAAATTACATTAAAAAAAAAAAAGAGTAACTCTAAAGCTCACCTTGCAATTAGATATCACTTCCCTCCTTGCTTGTGCATCCACAATAAAACTAGAGTAAGTAATCTCAAAGTACACTCCACGCTGCACATCAAGCAGAAAAGAAATCACTATCATCCAGGAAACAAGGAACTAACCACAAACCAATAGATGGAAACAAAAACATCAGGAAGAAGAGGACCACAAAGATAACAAAATCCAAAAGACATTTGAACTCGCACAACGACAACTCATGCATGAACATGGGGTTTGTCATTTCTTTATCACATGGATGCATATGCCTACATTGACATGCTGTAAGAAAATATAGGAAATCCTGAAGAAAATTCATCCATCATCTCCTACAAGGTCTTAAGTGTTGACTGGTGGTGTGTCTAGCAGTGGAATAAGTCTGTATTAGAAGACAACTCTCCACCATAAAAAACTTTGGCAGAGTGTCGACCGCTATCTTCACTGAACACTTTGCCCCTCCTCTATTTTTTTTTTCCCCTTCCTGAATTAGAAAGAGGGGGGTCTTACTTATTCAGGGGGGGGGGGGGGGGGGGGTAGAAAAATCAATTTTTTACTCACATGGGGCCCACCCCCGTGTGGGTAAAATTCAAAATTCTATTGGAAATTCTGTAGAAATTTCCTGTACTCACAGCATTTTTGTTCTCCTTTTTCTCTTCATTAGCGATGACCTTGTTTACCCC